TACAGCGTTCTGCATGACTGCAAACGTTTGGCTCTCAGAGGAAGAGCAGCTAGCGGTCAACACCTGCAGCTTCAAACAGACAAAGCACAAACTCTGAAAGGAAAGCAGGGCTTTTGAAGGAGTTTGAAGATCCCAGCAAAGCAGCTCTCCACTGGTTTATTTCATTGTGATTTTGGACTGAAGAGGTGAATGAAAGCTGCTGGAGGGACTCAACGGTGGGAAAGTCCAAGTAGAGTTTGCTGATCATGTTCAACACTCAAACTTCACCGACTTTGACCTTAAAATAAAATGTCTGAGCAAACTTAAGCCTTAAAGTGGAAAATTAGGTTAAACCACACTACCAGAGTTATTTTCAGTTCAATCCAGCACATCACAAGGGATCACAAGAAATAACAAAAGTTGCAGAAGGGGAAATGAAAGACATGACACAAGGGAGCAATGCACGGCGGCTGCGGTCAGGGATATTAAAGATATGACATGGGGAAATGATGCCAACTTCCACCTCTTCATCTTCTTTTTCAAAGTTGTTCTCGTGAGGCTGGGGCAGTTTAAAAATAGAGCTTGTCTAATAGAGAGTTGGGAGGGTGAGGAAAGTGGGTCTTCTGTGGTTGGAGAATGCAATTTGAGATTGGCCAGATTGCTTTTTATTCCTCCTTCATCTCCCCGTCGGCCACTCACGAGGCGTGATATGCACCAGCAAGGTCCCTAAGCCGCAATAAGTCTGACGCCATTCTCCACACCACCGCCAAGGAGTCGTTCACTCGCAGCACGAGAAAAGTCAACGCCATGAAATAAAAGAGGGACTCAGGAAAGATCAGCAGGGGATTTGAGAGTGATAGATGAGATGCAGGCGAGGGAATGGTGGAGAGAGGGTGAACGGATGAAGGAGGTGGCTTCGGTGGGATTTCGGTGGCATATGGCAGAATGTAAATGCACTCCAGTTTTTCTTTATCGCATCAAATGCACTTTTTGAAAGGTTTGATCTACTTTGGAGCAAACTTGGTATAAGTTGGGATCAAACAGGCATCACATGTTTTAATCGTTATTCAAACTATAGTGATCCTGTTTCTCTTTGCAGTCGGTTTGTTATTCTGCTTCCGTACGTTTTTTGGCATTTAACTACTTCCACAATTCTTCAACTATTTACACAATTTTGGTATCAAAACGTTCAGCTCGTTCAGCTTATGCGGGCAATGACTTTTGGTATTAAAATATTTTATACTTTTTGAGATATTCAGCTTTTTCTGCGAGTTTTGGTCACATTGAAATGAACGGGATTGCTCAATTTTCAGCTAAATCCTATCACATTTTTGAGCTCTTACTCTTATAGTTTAACTTTAACCTAGAGACTTCATTCAAGTTTCAACAAACTCACAAGACTTTCAGCTATTACTGGTTAAAATCTTTTTGATATCTATTACAGTTTTTCCAAAATCGCAGGTAGAAGTTGAGGCACGGCTTGAGATTTTCAGTATTACGGTTCTTTCTCTACAAGCCTCAGAAGGAGGAGACACCCTGATTCTCTCGTTGAAACCCATGTTAAAGGAACAGAGATTTTCTCCTCCGATTGGCTTCAGACAGCTAAAATGTTCTCATCATAGCTTCTAGACAATTCATGGTAGGCAAATAAAAATTTGCATAGATGACCATCAAAGCCTTCTGCCGCTCATGCATTTTGAATTTTTCCAATAGGTGCAGTGGTTTTTGAATGGCGATGAGACGTGTCAGAGGTCTCAAATGACATCTGAGCAGCTGAGCTCTGTTAAATGCATGATTTATGAAATCTTGAAACACAAATTTCCACCGACCACATATTTTATAGTACACCAATGATTTTCTCAAATTTAGTAGGTTATTTTGTCAACTTCAAAGGGATGTCTTCAGTTCTGCTGTTAGTATTACATTTTTTGTGCTATAAGCCCCAGAAGGAGGACTGTGCCTGCTTTCCTCCATTTAAATCCCTTTAGAAAAAGGCACCTGTGGTCGACAGACAGCGGAAATTTTCTCCTCATATCTTCCAGAACATTTGCGGTAGGCACACAAGACTTCACACACATGACCACCAAAGGCTTCTGCCACTCACGCTTTTTGACTTTTTCAATTCGGTGCAGTACTTTTCGAATGGTGATGAGAAGTTTGACAGGTCCAATTTCACTTCTGAAGGACAGCTTTAAAGGCTTCTCTCATTAACAGGAGAACAGCTGCAGGCCTCCAACAGCCGAGGAAAAGGCGGGAAAACAGTGCTTCTCTCTGATTGGTTGAGAGTGTTCAACCATTTTCTGTCCAAGCTGGATCGTGAACCCACACATATGATGCATCAAATCGGCCAGCTTGGTCTCAGGAATCTTGTACTCAATTTTAAATGCGTTATCTTTTACCATGGTAACACAAGTGCATAAGGATATCCCCCAACAACTCTCACTGAAATGAATGTGAAAAGCCTAATATTGAGCCTATAACATACTGCTGTTTCTTATCGTTCTGAGCTCTATACACTTAAAACTAGCAGCATAGGTGACATTTTAACACTAGTCCGAAGGCAGGAACTGCCCCCTCCTCCTTCGCTGCTCTCTCATTGGCTGACAGTTAGGGATGAGCTGGATACTTGTTTCAGACGAGTGCCCGGTACGGATAAAGCATTTTTGACGAGTACGAGCATGAAACGAGCAAAACTGGTAAATATCTGTAATCGTGCTGAAGGAAAATCCTCATTGGGTAACTGACTGTCTTCACGCTCTGTGATTGGCTGGTCAAATAGAGCGCTCGCCCCTCCCTACACACAAAACTCTGCAGCTGGGAGCTCACAGCTCAGTCCACGTCCGGTCCATCCACGCACACACACACACACACACACACACACACAGTAACGGATCTCTCTGTGCTTGCTTCACTGTTCACGTTTCGTCAGAACTCCCTATGTTTTCTTCAGTTTGCTTCTTTTTAAAGTTACTTTAAAGTTATTTAAAGTTACTTTTTCCATAACGCACGAGGTGCATTTGACAAGACAGAGCTGAAAACGGCTCGTGCTGTGTCAGTCACTGCCTCCGCTCCGGTCGTTTTTTTTTCCTCTTCCTCCCTCCTCTTCCTCAGGATCCACTCCCTCTTTCATATTCACTCTCTCTTTCTTTACATTTTTAAATCACAATTGTCTATTTGTTGCTCATTTTGAATATATTTTAAGCATTTTCTAAATTCTCTTTTCTATTTTACATGTTTTGTTTTTGTGAAGCACCCCATGATTTTTATCTTGAGAAGCGCTATAGAAAAGATCTTTTCTTCTCTCTCTCTCTCTTAATTCATGCACTTAAATATAATGTTCAGATTTTATTGAAAAACTTGGCACGTAATAGTTCCTTTACTATTGTGATCAAAAACATTTAATCTCAACTCTGAGGCTGCTCTGTAAATAGTTTTCAAATAAACAATACACACAGCAACTTCTGATCCGACTTAAAATAATGTATTGATGTAAACCACACCCACTTCCGGTTAAACTACACCCACTTCTGGGTTAGGCCACGCCCACTCCGAGTACAGATACAGATACAGATTATTTAGATGGTTGAGCAGATACAGATACTGATAGTGGTGTACTCGCTCATCCCTACTGAGAGTTTTCAATCGTCTTCTGCCTAAAAGGAAATGTGCACCCACACATATGATACATCAATTCAACCTGCTTGGTCCCAGGAGTCTTGTATTAACTTGATATTGTGTTCTGCATTACCATGGCAACGTGCTTAGCAACAACATTTAAAAACATTTTAGACACAACTGTATCAACATACTTTAATATAGAAATGTTATTCAAAGTTTAAAAGTCATGTGTCATTGTACATTGCTTTATTAAATCAGACTCCTGTCATCTGTTACCATGGCAACACAAGGAACTACAAATCACTTTAACCAAGTCTCATAGGAATTAATATAAAAGCTGAATATTGAGCCAATAACAGACTTCTGTTTTTGATCTTTTTGAACTATCTGTACTTAAATCTAGAAACAAGTTAAATTTTATTGACCGTCAGAAGGTGGGAAAGTGCCCCACTCCCTCTCAGTCCCCTGATTGGTTGAGAGAGGTCAATCATCTTCTGGCTAAATGGACTTACACACCCACGCATGTGAGACATCAACCCGATCGGCTTGGCCTAAGGAATCCATCCATCCACATATAAATCCATACATGCTTCTATCCATCCATCCATTTATCCATCCATCCAATAAACCATCTATCATCCATCCAACAGTCCATTTATCATTTCATTCATCCAACCATTCATCAATTCCATACTAAGTCTGAACATATGTTAATCTGTTTCAGATATCAGTAAATGTTTCTAAATTCACAGTTCAGCCAATTGTAAAAATTTACCTATTAAACTATTCTCATTCAAATGCCAGCTGTTTAAATATTTCAACTTTTGACTTTTTAATCAATGCTCAAATATTTAAGTTTTCTGCTTTTTAGCTTTTTTTGTCCATTCTCCACCTATATTCTGAGCTTTATTACACTTGTTGGTGATTTTTGCTTCTAAATCTTTTAATACTTTCAGCTAATTTTGACAGTTTAGATTAGTTTCAGCTTCACTTCAGCTATTCAGCAGCTTCAGCAATCAGTTTTCAAATTTAGCAAATGCTGCTAATTTCACAGTTCAGCTAAATGTAAATATTAAACTGTTAAACTTGTCCTACTGAAATAACATGTGTTTAGACATTTTAGCTGTCCAGATTTTTATACATTATTCACAGATTTCAGTTTTCTGCTGTTTAGGATTATTTTTCTCTATTATTCACTTACTTTTTGTGCTTTACTTGGTTGGTGCTTTTTGCTCCTACATCTGTCGATACATTCAGCTCATTTTGACAGTTTTGCTTAGTTTCAGCTTCAGTTCAGCTATTAAGCTGGCTCAGCTAACAGTTGAAGCTATCCAGCATTCAAACAGCATTTCTGCAAGGAATGCAATTTATCTAGTTTACAGTCTTTTTTGTGTCGCTTTTAGGAGGAGAAGGATCATCTGAGACTGGGCAGAAGGAGACGTCCACCTGCGACATTTGCCAGTTTGGGGCAGAGTGCGATGTGGACGCAGAAGACGTTTGGTCAGTTCAAACACAAACGCTGCTATAGCCCGCTTCCTGCTCAGACCACACTGACTCTTTCAAACATTTCAAGCCTCACATGTAGTTTAAAACACAAAGACTGTAGAGAAGTGCTCCTTTGTCCTGCACCCACCCACCACTGAACACCCACTGAGGGTTTATTGCATGGCTGACCATTTCATTTAACCTCAATTACCAGAGCAGGGTTAAGAGAGAAAGGAGATTTTCGCTTATGCTGGAAATCCAATTACTATTCTTACAGGACTTGGCAATGTCAGGCCAAAAATGACTTTGACTCACACAAGAAAAGCTAGCTCAGTGATGAAATAACGTTTGTCAGAGATTTAACCATTTATTGCAGATGAGACGGATGCGGCTAATGTGTTTTTTTGGTTTGCTTGTATGCGAGGAAGCGGCAGAAGAGAACACCCTCGGGGGGTAGCTACATAAAAACATGTCTGTGGAAAAAAGGAAAACCCAATTAAACGGAGGCTCAACTGGTGAACTGCTCCAGCACCAGCACCGGTGCTTTGTACAGCATGAATCAGACTTAAATGAACCAACACTGCTGAACATAATCAGCTGCTATCAGCAAATGGGAGGCAGTGCTTGTAAGGAATCCCAGACGTACCGCTAGAAATTAGAAGTGCCCTGAGAGTACGACTCCATCAGACGGCTTGATGTAATGGAAAGATAATGTACCCTGGTGTGCTATAACCATAATGCCAAGGAATGGCTTCATGATGCTTTTTGAGTCTTGTTGCAAATACTAAACAGCTGGAGTCCACTCCTTCTGATGCTACCCACTTTAGCAAATGCACCTTAATATGCCACTAAAACACAGAAATTGATTTATTGGCAATTTTTGAATCCCCAACGGGAGGATTCATGAGATTCAGAGGTACAGCTGCCGGTTTGTGCGCATAAACCTGAAAACATTAGGAAAATGGGGCTTTTAATCTTATTTAGCTCAAACTGAAACAAAGACAATTACACATTACACAAGACAACAAACTGAAGAGGTGAGTAAATCAGTCCTGTTAAAGCATTTGACTCAAATATTAGAACAGCCATAAATATTTCAGTGTCCTGACTTGTAAAACGGAAACTACACGCCATCTTTAATCTTTAAAAAGCCCAGAGGTGTTTGGATAAGAAAGCGTCTGGTGAATAATCAGGAAGGTAATTGCAACCCAACGGTGGGTGATTTTTATGAAACAGCAGCCAACAACTGCTGTCATTGGAGATTGTTTTGATTAAAATGACAGGTTATTCCAATCAAGCGGCAGCTGGTTTTAATCAGACTGTCAGTTAACCACACAGTGATTGAACACAGAGGTGACTGTAATCAAAAACCTTCTTATTTTCACACAAACAGTCCAGATTAATAAATCCGTTCCTTTGGTGTGCCCTTTAAAAACAACTGGGCAACTTTTTTTCTAAGTAGATGCATTTATTATTCTTTGGGCTCAGTTGATTTTTATTGTAGACAATAAACGGGATCTCATTCCACTCCAGCTTTTCAAAACTGGGTTTTCAGCATAAACATAATACAAGTTTGGTTTATTCTAAGCTTTATGATGTAGTGAAAGTGTGTGTAAAGCGTTGACTCGATCCCCCAGGGAGGTTTGTTTCTTGCAATACCTGGAAATCCTTTTTGGAAGCTTGAATGTTTTTACTGGGTTGTATTAAAGGAGCAATATGTAAGAATTATACAGTTAAATAATCACAAAACAGCTGAATGTCTCAATCTTATTGGAAGGAAGGTTACATTGAAACAGATGTCTTTATCAGCCAGTTGTGTGGGTGTCAGAGAGAAGTGTGTTTACTATCTGTGAACCCGCAGGATTGCGCTGACCTAACGCTGTAGCGTCAGCTTTTGTAATTCAACACCAGCAGGCAAGAAGCTCCAGAGTTGTTTCTAGAGCCGAAGCCAGTAAACAAGAGCGACCCAGAAGTTATGTCTTGTACCCCTAAGAAGCCACGGTGTCTTGTTATATTCTGATATCGGTTGATGCAGGCTAGAGGCTAACGTTGAACTAACAATGCTAACGGTGAATTAGAAGCAAATAGTCTGCTCTAAAAAATTTCAGTATTACAGTGAAATGTATTTATCTACGTATCGACTTACTGTGTCAGACTCATATCTGCTCGACTTCTAGAATCATCAGGAGCCTCATTTATCAAGCTTGCTTACGCACAAAACGGGGTCTGAAAACTGCGTAAGACACTTTCCACGCAAACTTTGGGATTTGTGAAAGAAAACTGTGCACAACTTTAAGTTGACTAAGGACCTGGCTTACGCACATGTTGGACATGGAGAGCGCCTGCAGTGCTGCTGCTGAGAAGGATAAAATAATGAAATCCTGCAGCATCATCACTTGTACCGCTTCGTTTTCACACAGAACAAGACCCCCCACATGCACACACACATGCACATGCACACTCACACACACACACAGCCTGAAGCACAGAATACGGAATGCAGAAAATCAGCAGGGGGGCAGATTGAGACAGAACGTCATGCATCTGTGACAATGTGTGTCCTGTCACTGTGACCCGATTGATCATGCGCCCTGGCTACTTGGAGAAGGGAGATCTCCGTTTGGGTGACTGTTAGAGCGCGTGACTTTCACCTGGCAATCTGGGGATCAAATCCTGATTAGACCATTTTTTTATATCCAGATCTTTCTGAAGAATTCACAACATTGACGGCTTCAGCAACGCTGTGCCACTCCATGGATTTTCTCTTATTTGTTTTGCAAAAGCACTTCCTTTCATTTTTCCACCTCACCCACAGGTACCTCAACTTCTGCTTGTGGAGACATCTTCCTTGATCTGCGGTCGTGATAGAAATGCTGCAACAAGCCGGCTTATGTATATGCATGAGATCCACAAGGCACTTTGCATTGACCATTTATGGCAGTAAGTGGGCGTGGTGAGGGCGGGATGTGACTAAAAAGCAGCTGAGAAACATTCTCGTTAGTCTCTGATTCATGAAGCGGAGATTGCGTGCAGCTGTGCATACTCCATGTTTGATAGATCACAAACCTACTTGGCGTAAGTCCTTTTTTTTTTTTTTTTTTTTTTTTGCTGAGCCTAAGTACGTTTTAGTAAGTATTCTACACAATGTTTGATAAATGAGACCCCTGGTGCTGATCTGTAGCCAACAGCCATGAAACGGTGGTGAGAAAGTGACTCGTATGTTTCGACAATGAGCTGCAGTAACCAGATTTGACCATGGATGTCAGTTTTACTTCATTCTTACACAATGCACCTTTAAGTGGATAAATAAAAATAAAAAAAGATTGTATTTTTATTTTTAACTCATTCTTGTGGCAAATATGATTTTGGACCATGTCTGGACAGCTTTGGTAAACCACTGATCTAGATGTATCAGTTAGTTCCACTTTTAAAAACCTGTCAAGATTTATATTTTTACCTCATCTGCATTAGATGGTTGGAGCCCATGGGTTATATCTTCTTAATTTACACCTTTGGATTGAGGAAATTGATTTTTTAATATTAAATTTCCAGCCGATAGTCCTGAAACTGCAAACTTTTCATATTTACAGACATCACTGAAAAATGCTAAAACAAAAGAAAAATACATTTTCTCGTATTTATTATTCAGTATTTTTACATCAAAATAAGCCACATAGATTAAAAACTAGCTATCTGTTAAGGAACTAATTATACCCACCAACCCACAGAACCATTTAAAGATGTTTTGCGCTGTTTGGCTCGGCAGTAACAGAACCTCCTCTCTAGACAACAAAGATATTAAAAGTCTGATTTATTCAAAAACATCTGAAAGTAAATTGTGTTCATCGCTGAGCATTTTTAAGATGTTAGAATCAGTTTGGAGGTTCTGTATCTAGACAGGAGGATGAAACATTTCTGTGCATTTTTACAGAAAAAATCTCTTTATGCTTTTAGCGTTTGGATGGTCTTTAAAGAAAAAATTATCTTCCTGATGTGTTCTGACAGCATAAAATAACACATATTTGCCTGTTGTAATAAGGGGCTGTGCCTGGTCAGGAGAAAATGACGATTCCAGCCCCCAAAAATAATGATTCCATTTGTCATCATTTGTGATTCACCTAAAAATTAATATTTTGCCTCTTCTTGCATTTTCACATAAAGAAGACTGTTCTGTGCTGTGGTGCAGATAACGCACGCTTGGTGAGGTCCATTTGGCTGAATGCTGGGAGAGACTTTATCTGCTCTCCATCCTTCCATAGCTCCATATTCTCCAGGGGCCGGAACCGGGCGGAAAAAAAAGAGGCTAATTTGCCCCAGAGGGATCAATATAGCATCACAAAATTCCATTTAGATCCATTTGTGGTGTAAATCAGTAATTACCCACGAAAATCTATGCTTTCAAAGGCATCAGCAGCAGCAGCCACTGGTGTTGGTGGGATTAAAGCAGGTAGCTGGCCGGTCTCATCGAGGCTCCAGAGGGACGCTGCGTGTGAACGCTGAGAAAAGACTTTGAGGTGGTTCAAAGCTCATTTTGTGCGATAATAAAACAAAAGTTGTTGTCATTCTTAACCCTAATGCCTGAAAACAGATGTGAAGTATGTAAAATAAATTTACTTCATCTTTGACCCTCCAGAGAACAAATATTCTTATAAAGAAACGTTGCCGTGACTCTTGCCTCCATAACTTGTTTTATTCATGCTAACTTTTGCACATTTTAACTTATTAACTTACGCATTTTATCATTTTTACAGTGAATCATTAATTTAGGAGTTCCTTTCCCACTGGACCCAACAATGAGGCTAACACTTTTAAATGTTCGGCATCGCGTCGTCTCGTCGTTCCCTCTCATTCAGCCGGGCCATGACCCAAATAAGAGATGAGTAAAATGGATTTCACAAAGGCAAGTTTCTGCCATTTTCAAGTGTGTTTCTGTTTGAATCTTGTTAAAAATGGCCTCCCGAACAGCCTCTGTTCAGAGAAAAAGAGAATAGAACTGAAGAGCTAGTCTGCGTGTA